CTCTCTCGTTGACAAATTTGTTCTTCGCTTTCGTGACGTGAACTGATCGGAGGTCGAAACTGGCGTGATTCTCGAGGTCTCAATTAACCAAAGTAATCAGCTAATATTGGAAACGTGATATCAGCAAACTCAACCGCAGTCTGTCTCAACATTTACATGAAATTGGCGAGTTATATGGGCCGTAAACTCTCCGAGACCCTAACGAACGTCCCCTACATTGATAAAGCTAAACTCCCATGCCAAAGCTCCGCCCTAACCACCCTTCGAATCTGTCGAGACGAAGGAGTTTAATGCTTTCATTTCGACGCCCAACGTTCAAGTACCTTTGTTCCACTATACCGAATTACATTGAAGTGCGAAGACGCGACATTTACATTTGGTGGTAGAAACTCGATACTTGCCACGGCATTCATCTGGTTTTCCTCATTTCACTGCAGGGTAATACTCTGTATCGTATTATTCTTATTAGATTACAAAACCACCCAAGTTTAGTCGAGTTTGCTGAATTAGCTCCTCTGAAAATGATGAAATTTGATCGTTCCCCTAGACATACTTATTTTGGCTTCAGCGGCCTTCAAAGTTAGCGGAGCTGCGGGACAATTCAATTAACCTGCTTCCTGGTGCTCTGCGCAGCTCCAATTTGCCGACGTTGCGTGAAACTACTTTTCCTTTTATTGCCGACTGCGGAAAACAGAAAAACTCTTATAAGACCCTCCGCCGCGTTTCCTGCCTGTCCTTACCAACGGTTTTGTCATATCTTCGGAATACTGATATACTTCCGGCTTTTCCATGCAACTCCGTCGCCGCCACGTTATCTCCTTTCAGTTTACGGAAACCGGAGCAATATCATCGAGTGCAGATGTGCGTGACCTATTTCGAAAATGTATTCTGCCTCGCCTTGCTTTCGCCATTGCGATCCCCCAGGAATAAATCTGTTATGGTTAATGAATCCTAAACCAGCCGGCCGATTCTTCGGGTTTCTTCGACATGCAAAATTAAACACGAATCAGGTGAGATCGCAAATAATTGTACGTTAACGTCTACCTCGCGTGATCACAAATCAAGGGTTCGCGAAACCATTAGTCCTTAACACGCAAGGTGGTGCAAAATTCTCACGCCTCGTTTAGCAAGCGCTATCACGAGAAACTTTTTCGCGCGATAAATCATGGATCGCTTATCCTAGCAAAAAGAAGGAATTAACACGACGACGCGTCTCGAGGCCAGGAATCTATTAATCGATCGATTTCCCACCGGATCGCGATCGCTTCCGTCCTGAAATTCGCAAATTGGGAGGACTTCGGGCCGGAAGTGAAATGAACGTGAAATACGTGAGGCCGATTAACGACGGCCCTGGGATTTATGTTTGAAGCGTGTGAATGATAGACCAGCGCGTCGATAATATTCTTGGGTAAATGCAGGACCCTACCATGTCTGTAGATGCGATTTTTCTCCCCGATAGGAAATTACAGCTCGCGCGTCAATTCCCGCAAGTGTACTCCCGCGTTTACTGCCAGGGAGACTGCGAGGCGCGATTCCGACCTGGCGAGCATTGCTTCGTTTTACGATTTTCTTGTTCCCTCCAAAGGGGCAGAATCAGGTAAGGGAAAAAATCAGCTCCTGGAAATCGAAATGGATTGGTGAAAATACGAATATCGAGTACATTGAATCGGTACGCTTGGCTAGTTATATTCCCGTTGCATGCTCACCCTACGTTGACATTTTAGTAAACCTATCGATTAGTCTGGACGTTATACGAAGGTCCAGAAGTGAGATTAAAATGTCCATTATGCAAACGATGATACGCGAGGCATGGGATGGCCCTATCACCAAGTTTGCCGGCGTTGCTCCTATCTGCTAGTAGTCACCGAAACTTAACCGATCTCAGGGCCGAATTAATGCAAGACCTTTAGTTCGACCTTAGAATCTTTGGTCCCAGGAGAGGCGTCTCCATAACTCAATCTCGGCATAGCATTTTTACCATTAAATCCACCCCCGCCAATTTATTACGAATTTTAACGGAGTAAGAAACACATGGAATAACGGATCAAGGAAGGCTTCGTGCTACCGTTTCCTGCCCTCCGTCTTGCTTACGCTTGTTACCAACTTTATTTCCCCAACTTTATTTCGATAAAGTTCACACGCTTCGTGCAAGTTCGTGCCGTGACCCCGTTCTAGCAACATTGTCGCGAGGCGTTAAATTTTTGACAGATTATGGAGCGCCGTGAACATCCAGGGTGTTAAAACCGAGCCAAGTTTGAGAGCGAGGAATTTCTTAAGAAAGGGCAAGACTACTTTCAAAGTAGCGACCTTTTTCGTGATAAAGACAATAGAGTCATTAATCAACGTCTAACGCTGAGCGAGAAGCTCCAGGAGACTGGAATGAAAAAGCACTGCAGTCGAGGGTGAATTCAACGGGGTAAGAATGATTTTGTATCTTCCATCGGATCGTGGTAAAAATAGCGAATCAATCCTTGGTACGTCTGCTGAGGTGTCGATAAATCGTAGCTTGTTCAAATGGAGCCTGCACCCACTGAATTTGGCTAGGTCACGTTGCGTTTTTGGGAACATTAAATAATGTATGCATCTGAATTCGGTAGCTGATAAAAAATCGAGCTTCCGGTATAGAAAGCCGTTTGAATTTTAAAAACCGAAATCCCACATTTAACACAGCTGTTGGAAAGAACGAACTGATTCTGATTTGCATTGCAAAAATGACGTCAAAGGACGTTTTCCCTGATCATCCATGCTGAAGGTCCGTACAAAGAAGCAATTGTTTTTTGTTGTAAATTGTTCGTTTCAAAACGGCCTGCACGAACGGCGGAGTAATTAAAGGAGACCGAACGTTTCGCTACATCTCCTTTTCTCTCTCGGTACAATAACAATTACTTTAATGCTTCCCTCCCTCGAGGAATAACCTTTTTGCGAGAGTAGTGGATTAATCCTAAATTGAAATTCCTTGTACGGAACAGAAAGGAGTCGAGCTAAGTATACTGAAATATGCTTTCTGATAAAACACTCCCAATTACCTTAATAAGTGGATGCGGCATTCAAGGATTAACAAATTTTTGTCCAGCCCCAGGTGTAGTAAATTGAACCCAATTTGTCGTTTTCGGCCTTCCTCGAGTTCACTCGTGATCTGATCTCAGCAGTGGGGTCGAAAGACGCTCTACCACAGCATCCCTGGAATTGTATTTCAAACGAAAGCCTAAAAGACGGGTCAAATGGCTTCTGAAGTACAATAAGAAAGTGGAGGACCAAATAAGACCAGGATGTGTAAGAGGAAACCTGCGCGACGTTTCCAGGAAAGTCTGCCGATAAAAGTAGTCGGCGATGAAGACCTCGGGAGTCAGGACCAAAATGTGTACCTCGTCAACTGCATTACATTTTCTTCACGCGGACTTTTTATCCGCAGCATTTGCACACCGGGTTCATTTCATTTCGAGTACTCGCCACTGCGAGAGTCAAAGCTCGGGGCGACGTCGAAAGGAAAATCCACGGATTTTATTTTTACATCCAATAAAAGTATCGGATTCAAAAATAAAACCTGCGGATGATCGGAAATGAAAAAGGAAAGCCTTTTTTATTATTTCCTTTAAATATCGTTACCTCCTCACTATTGCCGCCCGCGGCGCTCGCCGCTCGAGGCCACGAATTTACCCTGGACGGGGCTCGCAAATACAGAAAACCTGCGGAACTCGCAAAATATTTTTACAGGACCCGCAATTGCCTCTTAATTGCACGGCTAATCGATTTTAGACTCAAAAAGAAACTTACCTGAGCCCTGGAGGTACTGCAGCGCTCAGTCGTCGAGTTTCGCATCGACCCAGCAACTTGTACAGGATGTCCTCTGATTACTAATTCACTCCGCCGGAGTATAAACATATTATGTTTGTCTTGTAATATCATTCAAGTTGCAGATTGTTCTAGAAATAAAATGACTCCGTTAGCGCGCGACATTGTGATTTAATGGGAACTATGTTAGTGTACAATTCGGAGGATATGCCGAGATCCAAGATGGCCACTCCGCCATCCATTTTGATATTCCCCGAGTTACATGCAACGCGTTTACATTTCCCGAAAATTCGGTAAAAGCCTATTCAAAGTTCATCCAGGGCTTAAAATAATCCCGGCTGGCGATAACAACGAGGAGTTCCGTAATCGCGTTACGTAACGCATCGACGTCCCGGTAAATAAGTGTCTCCTCGGCGATTTGACGGGATAATATTTATGCAGGCGCGTTCACCTTTGGCGATCGATGGAACTAATTTGTCGGCGGGCCGCGTTTCGAATAATAGGTTAGTCCGGTAATTCCGAGTTATAGGTAACACGGCAATTTCGAGTTATCGGGAATACTGCCCTTCAGTGGTAACCTCGGGAAAGCGGAATATAAAATCCGATTGTTCCAGAGCATTCGAACCTCTCGTGAACGCAAGCGCGTTGATTTTCTTTCCAAACGGAAATAGTGATTAAGTAAATATTTTTTAAGCCTTCCTCTTCCGAGCATCCACCATTAGACACCACTTCCAATCGGCGGATATTCTCCTCGGCTTGGATGAAGAGGTATTAAAGTCTCAGGCATTTTTTCGGAGTAAATGTCGGGGAATTTCCGTAACAACGGATTATTTTTGAATCCCATTCAAAATGGTGTACCGATGACGACTGGAGAGAGACTGCTAGGAAGGAAACTCCACTCGCGATGTAGGTAGCGTTCCTGCGACGCCAGCGCCGTGGCGACTCTACGAAGCTCGGCTGCCGGGAGACTCGCGATGCGCACATCTCCGATACGCATAGTCTTTGTTCAACTCCTCGGTTGGCGCGGCGTCGGGATCCGCCATTGTGATCGTCGTCGCTCGTACATAAGTCGCGTCCTCGCTGTTCTGTGAATTCCAGCGTGCACGTTACCAATTATCCAGAGACTCGCTCCATCTCTACAGCAGCGTCGACGGTTCGCCGTTCATTTCTCTCAAATTCGAGGTACGAGCGAGACGATCGCGGAAAGGATGGCGGACAGGCCGAGCAACGGTGAGTACAAGAACTATCAGAGGGAAGAGAACGCCGACATTAAGCAGAGGCTTCCGCTAGAGAAAGAGCGCGAAGACAAGGAGCATCAGGTCGACAAAGCCGGGGAATACGTCCGGGAGCTCCTTCACGAGAAGCTTGAGATTGACTCGCAGAAATGGCCCAATGCTCACCGACTCATCGACCAAGGTGAGTGACCGAACCTCCAATTTTATGCCGGATTCGGCTTGGTTCCTCTGTCCTTTACACTTGTACCTTTATTGTTTACATAATAAGGTAAGTATCATTCAGAGGTACCGGTGGATTAGGTTATGTTCCATTGGTCGATGCACCAAAAGGGTTTACATTACATAATCCGAGTGTTATTAGAGTACCGACGATAACTACGAGCTCGATAGGCAGTGGCGACGAAGGTGGCTATCAGACATGGTGTAAGAGAGTTACTTTTTGGCGCTGCGATAACGATAGGACAACACACCACGTGTTTACAGGTTGCCTCGGTTAAGGAATGCTTTCGGTGCGATGCGATAGAAAAAGAAATGTAGTTTCTTGCGACCCGATTTCCATTTCTGGTAGATTACGTAGAATGTATTTATCAAAGCGTACCCCGGTACTGCTCAAGTGGATCTGACACTCAATGGATTAACGTCTGGTGGTCGTTGATCTTGTTATAAGACTGTTTGTAGTAGTTGTAGTAGTTGAATTTACATATTCCCCTGTAATTCCAAACATGGCAAGAACTGAATAAACACCGTCTCAAATGTACACACACCGATGACGAGAACGTTTCATTTCTAATTTTAAACTCGGAATAGTTCTGGTTACGATGAAATCTCGCAGGCAGCCTTTTCCTCGGCTCTACAATAATAAGTTTAAAAAGACTCTCTAGAGCTCTCCCTTTGTATCCTACCTTGTTTTCTAAATTCATGCTTAATTAGTGCTGGATACGTAGGACCGAATAAAAAATAAAATTTCTTTGAGAGTCCCGCTATTCATCTGCGAAAGCTTTCTTAGCAGAGTGCATTACTACTCCATGAATAAAACAAGAGGGTCTAAGTAAGATCGACAAACGAGTTCGCTGGGTTTCTTTGATAATAATTTTATTATAAAAATATCACGTGCATTTATTGCCTGTTTCGGCGATATCCACCTTTGCGTTGTACTTGAAAATTACACGTCTCCCTTCTCGCTCTGTTTAGGGAAGTCCGAGTTAATTAGTTAATTAGTGTTGAAGGGGCGCACGAAACCGCGGAGTGGCCGGGGTAAAGTAAAGATTACTTTAAGTGTACCGCCATTCACCTTTGGGAGCTCCTTTCGGGGAATACATTACCACTCGGTGAATTGTACGAGTGCTTTTGACGGGGAGGAACCAAGCGAGCTTGTAAAAATTCCCGGAGTCCCCCAGGACGCGCGGTGTACTGCCAACCGAAATAAATTCTAAGCGGGAGGGCACGTAGGATTAAATCCTTCATGAAATGCAACGTTAACTTCTCCGAGTAGCGCCGCTATTATTCTTACTGTCACTGCCGGTAATAAAACAGCAGTTGCGTCGAGTGCACTTAATACGCCGCTACGCTCCTACCTTACACCGGGGATGCACGCAATCATTGAATTATGCATTCACGGTCCTCCGTTCTCTTTCGTTCTCGGAGAGATGCGTCTCGTTCCGGGGGGTCCCGGGACGTTCGAGAATTACGTGCGTTTCATTTAATCAACCCGACTCGGTTGAATCGATGCAACTTGCATTCGTCAAGATTACCGTCACAAGGGGAAGGGGAGCAAAAAGTAAAGCTAGCGGAAGGATGTCGTTAGGATTCGTTAATTATAAGAACGTCGTGTAAAATACGAGGTTTTCCACAAATTCCAAAGAATTTTTCAAATGAATTTATTATTCTATAAAAATGTTTACGCGTTTACATGTGTTAAACGACGTGTATAACAAAGCGGATGCCTATCCGTGGTATTATGAAATAATGGAAACGCGATTTACTGTCTTTTTACGATTTTTTACGGTAAACTCATTGATTATCCTAATATGTACGTGAAAAACCTCGAAAGACGCGAAATTTCCCAACCCTCGATATCGCCTTCTCGTTTTAGGTAACGGTCTCGCGTCTTCAGTTAGCTTTCCCTAACTAAATGGGAATTGAAAAGCGAACCGAGCGTCGAAGAGGAAAGGGTTATTTCCCGTATTCGGGAAGAGCTCTCGGCTTCAACAGGTTTATTTTCCCGGCGTTTCCGCAGTCGAGCATCGACGATTCGACGCCGATGGGGAAGAAACCTCGTGCCTTGACTTTGAACTTTACGTTTCGCCTCGGATCGCGTTGAAGGAAATTCTTACATTTTTTTTTTCTCCCGACCCTTAAATGCAGTAAAAAAAAAAAATGAGCGGCGAAGTAGGAACTGCAGCAGCTAGAAATTTATAAGGGTAACTTACGGCCCCCCCCCTCCGTATCAGGCGGAAGATAAAGACTCTGGGCGAACTTTTCCCGATCGTGCTTCAAGTATTTATATTAAAACTCATAAAAATCGCGGGGGTTATTGCATTGCGCTCTTGAAGCTTTTATTGCCGCTGCATTTCATGCCTAGAGACGTGCGCAAATGTAGCGAAGAACGGATACCCCCCGCGAAGGGGCCTCGTAGGGCATAATTTTTTTTTCCCCAGCGAATCCACGAGTCGAATTGGGAATATGCCTTTTGGGTAGGAGCTCGGTATCGATTGGATGAATTGTTTAGAAAAGATCGATTGGCCGTTGGTTTGCCGGGTAAATTTACACTTTAAATTGTCGGGGGCGCGCGGGACTACATCCGGGGTGTTCGGTGATAAACCCAAGGGGCTAGTACCCCCTGATGAGAACAGGGGCTTAAACTCGAAGCGAAATTAACTGGTAACCATGGCTCTAATCCTCGTTCCGCCAGAAACCGAAACTAAGATCTCCATAAAATAATGGAGCCCCTGTCCGGGACAACTACCCTAAAGTAGCTCGTCTACAGGGTGCGGCGAAATCTCTCGCAATTCTTTTTTTTTTTTTTTTTTCACGGTTTTCATAACATTTGAACATCCCGCTTGTCTGGCTGAATTCGTGACATATTTCAAATTTGGATCTGCGCGGCGGGGTACTGGAATACAATTTATACCAGGGTTGAGCCGATTGATATCATTTGATTAAAATCACCGATTTTTGTCAATCCTGATTTATACGCAGCTTTTTTTGGTCCCGATAAATCACTGAGGGGTCTTTACGATTCATAAGGAGATAGGAGCGCCGTTCGGATAGATCCCTTTGTTAGCGCGACGCGCACTTAATTTCCTCCCGGGGAATTCACTCGGATTGGATGGATTCGCCATGATTCGGGTGTACCTTCCCCGTGTACCGGCCTCCGCGTGCGGGGAAATAATTCTCCCCGTTTTATTCCCCAAGCTCCGCTGAACATTTTATTGGAAATTTTTTCACGGACCGGGCCGGCTTATCGTCCGGGTCAAGCCTGATCCGTAAGTACGGCGGACATGGCGAGCATCGTGCGAGCCCTCCTCATTGCGAAAAAAAATGTCCCTTTTCGAAACAAATCGCCTCCACTTGGACATTGATCCCGGCTTTCTCTGGCAGACCTCGTGACCGAGGTAACTCGGGAGAACCGCCGTTCCTCCTCGTCTCGGGCGGATCTCTTTCGCCCCATGGTGTGTCCCGTCCATCCTCGAATCGGTTCCTTAACGGGAGCCGAAGGATTTCCGAAGTAGTCGTCGCCTTCCGCACCTCCTGGAGTAGGTCTTTGATTCGATTAAGCATAAAAATTCCACGACTCGTCCCCGGAACTCGCGAAATTCGAAAGTTCCCTGGGGGCGGAAGGAGGAGGAGCTCCCGCGGATTGTCCGCGGTCGGGGAGGATGTCGCACGAAAAGTTGTCGAGGAGATAGGAAAGTTCCTTTTCGCCCTGGTCTCGCTTGAATATTCGATGAGGAACTCGATTGTAGTTGCGCCGGGAATCTCTCCTAAGACTCCGGTGCCGTGACCCCTGATGTAGTTTCATCTCGCTACGTAATGGCCGGGAATAATTTTCGATTTTCTGAATCTCGACCCCGTAAACTGCTCTCGCTTGTCGGCACAAAACAGAGTCATTGCTCCGCTCGATTTGTTCCTCGGCTTGCATTCCGAATTAGCTGCACTTTATCGATTTCAGAGATTCCCTTTGCGCCCGCCCCCCTCTCGACCTCCCACCCACCCTATGGACTCCGCCGGCTCTAATATGAATATTCAGGGATTGGATTTTGACGTGGGGATGTTTGCAAACAGGGAGTCGAGCGTTTGAAGAATTATTCTGTCGGTCGGTCAGAATGAATATTCGCCGAACTCATCCCCGACCGGGGAGGTCCTACTGGAGTCACTGGGTTGCGATTCTCGCGGATGCTCTCTCGGGATGATACATACCTACGTGGCCACCTTATTAAACTCGATACTCGACTCGAGCATCTGATATCGGTAGAAACGGTTCAAACGACGATAGATATCTCGCTCCAACTGGGGTTGAGATGATTCAGTGGATTTGATTTTAATATCGCGATTTTTTGTAGCCTGAGTACTGCACTTTTCCCAGTTCTGCAATTTTTCAGTAATGTAGATTTAACTTAACCTTTTAAACGAGGTGTTTATTTAAATCCGCTCGTACCGCGCCCTTCGTCTCCAGGGCTGGTCGCGTTTTGGGGGAGGAAATCCTGTTTGGGAATATTTTCTACGTGGATTACTCCCCTTGCGGCGAGCCCTCGAGAGCTGTCGCGGGAAAAAGGCGGCGACCACCCCGGGAATATTTCACCCCTTGTCCGGCTCGTGTAAGTCGGGTGGAGAACCGCGAAGGCGATCCCTCTCCGCGATGCTTTCCTTTTTCCCCGGAATAACGAACGGCGCCGGGGAACGAAGCCGCAACCCTACTCGGGGACGATTAATCTTAATCGGTCCGCTCTCTCCCACGGGAATGAAAATACGACGGGAATTTTCGGGGCGGTCCCGAATCACGGGGCGCAATCAATTCCCAGATTATCCACTCTAGGGAATGGCCGGTTTAGCGAGCTCGTCGCGCGATAGCGAGAGTCGAGAATCTTGGGACGCGAATTTTTTTTTTTTTTTTCCCTGTATCCGTGTACGGGGACGCGGCCAAAACGCGAATAAAGGGACGGGAATTTATGGCGGGCGGGA